TCAAGTCAGGATTTGAGTATTATTTAAAGCACTCGAAATCATACTCAAGTCCCTGCCATTAGGGTCGCATTTCCAGTGCTTGTGTTTCCAGTGCAATCCTGACTTGAGCATTGAGTAGAGTTCTAGAATACGACTCTTAGTCTCCAAGGTCTCTCCCTGCACTGGGTCTTTCCACCCTAGAATCCGTTACACAAACATTCTGTTTTGGGGAATAAACAGGTATCGTTGTGGTACCAATGCGTGTGAGCACAAGCAAGATCTGCAGCCTATCAGTGCACACGTGAACCGCTGTTAGACTTTTATTTACCTTTTGGTTTCGGGAAACTAAATGTACTTTTTATTGTTTTATTTTTTTTTTGTTTAAATATTTAGGGATTGATGGATAAATTATTATTGTTTAAATGTTGTAAAACTTACTTTACGTACAACTTTCTCAATAGGCAGCAACGTCCATCCCTTCTCAATAAAAGTACGGTCAGATAGAGTATATCGGCAGATGCCTTCCGCAAGTGAATCCTTTAAACAAAACCATTTGTGTTGAATACACGGTATGTATACAAAAACGTGCGAAATTTCGAGGAATGATTTTTTTTATAATATCAAGTGACGGGACCAACAAGTCGTGTCCTAACCATAAGACTGTGGTAAGCTACACGCCTGTCCATGACAGTTATTGTGCCACTCAGAGCTTTAAATCGCAAAGATCTTGGGGAAACTGCCACTGCACCCGTCACCCTGAGACAAATGGTCAACATACAAATCCCATGTGCCTGTAATTTCACCACCACCTTTCAAAACTGGAACACAGTAATGCTGACATTACTGCTTGGCGGCAGAAATAGGTAAGATGGCAGTACTGCCCTTTCACATGGAGCTCTACTGCTACTAAAAATATATTTCTATATTTTTAGATTTTTTTCTCTTTCGATTTCTATTATCGACCATCATATCAGCCGGAAGACGTCCACTGCTGAACACAGGTCTCCCCCAAAGATTGCCAGACTAGCTGGTCGGAGGCAACGTGCATCCATCTGTTATCCGCCGCCCTTACCAGGTCATCCGTCCGTCTAGTAGGGGGCCGTTCCACTGAACACCTTCCAGTTCGTGGTCTCCAATCTCCCCAACGGCCGTCAGTTCTACGAGTTATGTGCCCTGCCCACTGCATCTGCATCTCCTCATTTCTGATTCGATCACGCCGAGCATTTCTCGCTACATGGCTCGTTGAGAGACTTTGAGCTTTTTTATGTGGCCCATAGTAAGCGACCCCATCTCATCGCTGGCAACACGCACTGCTCGAAGACTTTTGTCTTCAAGGACTGCGGTATTGCGGACGAGAAGACGTCCCGGAGCTTCCCGAAAGCTGCCCAACCGAGTCGGATTGCAGGATTGACCTCTTCCTCGAAGCTGGGTCGGCTTAATTTGATAATCGATACGTACTTGATAATAATATCTTAAAATTGTGATCCTTTTTAACAGCCTGTAGCGACATTCTTTCAAAGTCATCACAACAATTCCCTCTTTGAAATCCCTCTTTTACAATCTCCAGCAAAATAATGTATAGTAATATATTCATTATCTGTCACCTAAGTAGCTTTTTATTTTGATCACTTGATCTCTTTGTTAAATGAAATAATTATAAAACATAAATTCCTTTCTATTAATTTACGCGATCCTGCCTCGCTTAGAAGCACTCGAAGCATAACATCACTGGCTAAATTTGCGAATCACCGTATTATAAAGAATAAAAAATTACACATGTAATAAACTGACCTTCGCTAATTTTGCTTTTTCCTGGGATTTAGCTACCTTAGTGGTAAGTATTTCTGATGGGCGCTGAAGCACATCATCCGTAAATGTTGTATTACAAACAATGTCAGCTACACGTTCCTTTTTTTCGGGTGTTCCGCGTATTAACGATATGTTAGGTTTCTTAATTATTTTGTTTTTGTACACCATTTCAGATACTGATAAAGATTTTTCTTTAGTTTCTTTAAGATGACGTTCAGATTCGGATTTGAGTGAATTACGAGATTCAATATTTTCTAGTTTCTTGTGTCTCGGTTTAATTGCAGCTGGTCGAGTAATGCTTTTGCTCTTTAATGGTTTAGGCTTGGTTTTATCCATTTTACCAACCAATAGTTCATCATCAGCGGGAATAACGTTAATCTTGGTTTTCGAATTATTCAATTTTTCTTTCTTTGCCCCGTCAAGGGTATGTTTTTCTTTTTGACCTGATGCCAAATACCTTATCTGTTCTTCATCCGATTTTCCTTCTTTTTTTCCATGTAATAATTCCTTTTCAAATGTTGGTAATTCTTTTTTTTTATAAGACTTGTCTTCATTTTCTACTTGTTGTTCCTGTAATCCTTTTTTATGTGGCGATAATGATTTTTCCTTATCAGAAATTTGTTTAGATGGCAATAACGCTTCTTCTTTATCAGAATTTTTTTTAGATACCGGCAATCGCTTTTCGACTGCCGTTAATACTTCTCCCTTGACAGGCATTTTTTTTTCTTTTCCAGGTTCCAGGTACCACTTTTTTTTATTTTGTTCTTCTTCTTTGTGTAAACCTTCTTCCGGAAACGATAATGTTTTATCCCTATTTGAAATGTCTTTAGGTGATACTATATCATTACCAGATCTTTTTTTACCTTTTCCAGGTGACGACAATCCTTTCCCAGGTAATGTTTTTTCTTTATCTATTTTTTCATTTTCATTCTCTTTTTTCTTGTTGTATGTACGTTCTTCATAATTTACCCCTTTTCTATCCTTACCTGAAGCCTCATTATCATTATATTTCTGACGTTTTTTTTTATCCTGATTGATACCGTCGTCAATTTTAGAAAGTTCTGTCTCGGAGGTTTTTGATAGCTTTCTTTTACTATACTTTTCCTTTTCCCCTGTAGAACTATCTAAAATACCTTCTTTTCTTTGCTTCTTGTTTAGCGTTTCAGCTTTTTCTCTCTTTTCGTCAAGTTTTTTCTTTTCCATGTCGTCATCTTTATTTCCTGCAAAGAATCTCTTATCATGGGCCTTTTTGGTTTTTATACAAATACCAGATTCTTCCTCTAAAGCCGTATCATCGTATTTAGGTGGCATAAGAATGTTGGAATCTTGATTTACTGGTGATTCGACATCGCTTAATGATTTGTCATCCAATTTTAATGATGATATCAACGGTGTTATTCTAGGGTCTATTCTTGGAAGTTTTGATTTTTGTAGGTCTCGCCTTATGTTGGATAAAGATACAAACGTATTTTTTTCTTTTTTTCTTCGCCGTAATAGTTTGCCCTCCGATTTTAGCCTAGAGTAAACCAACTCTTCTTTCGTCTTTGGGAATGGATCCTTTGCTTTTGCTTGACAATGTTCGCAAATATTATTCGGAAAAATTCTCTCAGCAACTGAGAGTTGTCGCACTGTTTTTTGTGCGTGATGCATTATATATCTACAACGTGGACAGCTGACTTCATTTTGATCTGAAATAAAAAAATTATCTTGTTTGATTTTGAATGATTGAAATCTTTGAAGGGAGTATAGGTGGATATAGTATAGGTGCGCGTATTAGTAAATCTGTATGCGGAACGACGTTGCGTAGTGTGATCCAGAATCGGGCTTGATATTGTTCTCTCAACTGATCAATTGGTACTGTCAACAAGCTATTCATGAGAAAAGATTTTTGCTATATTCGACGCTTCTAGTACTCTCACCTTAGCTTATCCCTTATTGGCTTTTGTTCCATAATGGATCGAATGGGGCTACAAAAAGAATTCATGAGGATTATCGTATTTTTAACGTCTATTTTCTTCTAATCTGTGATCTAATTACAACACTGTTTTCCCATTGCTACCACAATTCCCCCGTCTGAAATTTCTGGATATTTCTATTTTAAAATTTACCTATGGCTGATACAATGTCGGCGGTCATCATCTTTGTATTGTTAGTGTATTCTGTTTTGAAGTCTTCGTTACCATCACTGTCACCTGCATTTCTGGTGCCATTAGTGTCGCTAGTCTATAAAAAATGAAATGAAGACTGTTGTTGAACACAAATATAAATAATAAATAAACGCAACGCACTATAGAATCAGAGAGTATGATTAGGTATTTTTACTAACACTGCCCAATACTCATTTCTGCCACCAAGAAATAATGTGAGCATTATTGGATGTACCTATGACCTACTACTAATAACTTGTCACAAGGCGCCGGGTGCAGTGGCAGTGCCCGTCAGATCTTTGCAATTTAAAGGTCTGTGTGGCACTGCAACTACTACTGCGTGTCGCTTACCACCAGGCGCGCGACTTGCTCGTCCCGTCACTAACTTGGTGTTATAAAAAACACAGGTACTTCTTCACTCGTTTAGTTATTAGTTTTTATGACGATTTCAATGAACAAATATTATTTATATACGTTTCAGACATACCTTAGTATTTTTACTCTGACGATAGATAAAGAAACATGTTTTGAGATCTACGTCCTTTTGAACTCTGATAGTAGAAGTTTTGAATGTACTGCGACAGTGGTGGTTTTTCCTTTAACAATAAACAAGAAATTAAATCATGTGCTTATTATTTTAACAAATAAAGTGTACGAAAATCATATTGATGGTCATAATTCATTATTTAAGCATAAATACAAGGTCTCTACGTTGTTTTAGCAGTTCGTTGGATATACCAACAGTTGGAATGTTGTCATTGACAAGGAACCTGCACAAGTAAAAGCACTGAGATATTTACCGATCTTCCTTAACCATATTAATATTAAAATATTAAAGAATACTAATAAAAGTAATGTAAACTGTATTTGGAACAAATCAATTTACGAGAACTTAATAAATTGATTGCCTCAAAAACGTTTCAATGCAATTAGTTACAATAATAATAACAATAAATTATTCGGAAGTCACTAATTAAATGTATTTAAATTAATATACTCAAAATACAATTAAAGCTTATAAAAAATTGTTAAGGCTTTTCACATCGAAAACCAATTTCCGTAAGCATCAAAAGATCATCACGCCAATGTGACAATCTATTTCTAGAATGACACAAAACTATTCTTTTTCGTTTTGTATTAAAGAGGTGGAAAAAGGATAAGTCGTCAGATTATACAAATTGAAGCACTGGCAGCTATCCGAACTTGTAGCGCTCTGTAGTATGAAAAGTTGTAAGTAGCAGTAGAACTCCTCGAGAAAGAGTTCGTCCAGGGAAGTACTGTCACATTACCTATTTCTGCCGCGAAGCAGTAATTGCTCACTTTACAGTGTACCGGTTTTGAAAGATAAGGGTTCTGGTCAAATGACAATACGGCACATTTGTTTCAAGGTGACGGGTGCAGTGGTAGTGCCCCTCAGATCTATGATATTTAAAGCTCTGACTGATGCAACTGTTATGGACAGGCGAGTCGCTTACAACCAGGCGCACGACTTGCGTTCGTTCCGTCACTTGGTACAAAAAAAATCTATTCTATTCTATTCAAATCAACAAATTAGAATCTAAAAACTAACACGGTAATTTACTGAACATGGTACTTTTAAGCGTTTCTTTCAATTACAATGCTCATTCCATTAGCATTGATAAGTTATTATTAAAATTGAGCCTTATCTATATAGATATAAAGATTAGTCTCAACCTTTAGTGGGCTATCTAGACATCTCCTGTACTTCACAACTGTGGCCCACCGTACCATAACATGACTATTTGATTTAGTAATCTGTGGATAATGCTGTTAGCTAACCATATAATTACATTGTTTTTGTAACTCCGTATTGTGAAATTCTCTGTTCAGTTGTTCTCCCAAATAAATAAACAAAAACCTAACCTTACTTTTCTACTGCAAGGTTAAATAACGTACTTTGATGTACCAATTACGAGCATATATAACTGTGTTGTCATATTACAAGATTTGCCTAACAGTTGTATCCATAACGCAAATTACTTTAAAAACAACAACAGTGAGGCCTAAACTCACCAATATATTTTACTCAATATTTTGGTTTCCACCACGCCATAGACATTTTCGATATTGATATATTGAAATAGGATCTTTTCAGCCGGCTGTGGGCAATAGAATCTTAAGTGTATAGTGCTTCTGACTGAGCTGGAGTTTCCTACTGAGACAAAGAGATACTTACCAAAGTGGGTTCTGCAGAAAGAGCGTTTCGAATTCCACTAATCAAATTCTTATAGAACATTCCGAAGTTTGGTTCTTAACCCCACTTATCGGTGTATATAATGCAACTCCAAAAAAATTTCAATAAATTCCTAATCCGCAGTGCGACCGCTTACAGATAGGTTGATAATCGCAAGACACTGTACTGCTAAATGATTAATTACTTTTTTACTACGACATGTTTTTTTTATTTTCTCGATATTTCGGAACGGTTACACGCTTCATGGTCACGGGTTGACTGGCCAGCGGCAGATAACATGCTTTAAGAACAGACATATTCTGTCTACCCTCTTTCGTTGTCCATAACTACCTTCATCTCAATTACTTATAGCATTACTGTTGTCAGTCATATTGTGACACGTGAAACTGAACTGAAGACGAACCATTTTTGTTTTTATTATTGTTTTATATACACTAAACAGATTCCACGTACTGGATGCTTCATTGTACTACTGCATACTTGCATATCTTCTGCAATGGCCCCTTAGTTACTTTCGACGGTACGGTGATGATTGAAAAACAGTTTTAATTATGTTTTTAAAAATAAGACCTTATTTACAATATATTGTGTCATTTGTCACACCTACCAACCATAAGCGAAAGAAGATACATATACCGAAAAATTGTCACTACAGCACACAGAAATATTCGACCCCAATGCCACGTGATGAACAGTAATGATGTGGCCTGGAATGTAGTATATATATCTGGAACTCTCACTCTTGTCTTAAAAAGGCCCAAGTTTTACGTCTATGGACTTGAATATATCGTAACTGAGACCACACGGCAAATATAATGGTCATACACTAGTTTAGAAACGCTCTACTATTAAACAAAATTTACCAACGGTCAACAATCAATCGAAACGCAAATATTTCTTTTTTATTTTAAGCAAGAGACAAACGAAAAGATGAGCCACTTGAAGGAAGGTGGCCGTCGTCGTCCATGCACAGTAGTATTTAGTAGCAGTAGAGCTCCTTGTGAAAGAGTTCGTCCTTACTTCCCTGTAAGTACGGTTTACTTACCTATTTCTGCCGCCAAGCAGTAATGTGAGCATTATGACGTTCCGGTTTTGAAGGGTAAGGGTGCTGGTGAAATAACAGGCACATAGGACTATTCAACTTATGTCTCAGGGTGACGGGCGCTGTGGCAGTGCCCCTGAGATCTTTGCGATTTAAAGCTCTGAGTGGCACTGCAACTGTTATGTACATGTACAGGCGTGTCGCTTACCATCAGGCGCACGAATTATTCGTTCCGTCACTTGATATCATAAAAATAAAAAATTTGAAACACCAGAGAAACTGTCTATAAGTTGCCACGGACGTGGTGACCGCGTGTTCATTGTGTGTCAAGCGTCTAAGATATGGGGATGGGCTCCTGTGACGGGACGTGCGATGAAAACGTTATGATGGTACCCGTTTGAAATTTTCTCATTATACAGATGGTAGAACTATACAGTGAACCGTAAGAAAACAAAAAGTAAGTTTGGGATCATAATATAACTTACAATAACAAATGTGTATTCACATGCCGTGGCACAATCAAGTTATCTCCACATTTCACCGTTAATATTTACCCGTCCAACGATCTTACGCAGTAATTTACACGCACTAGAACTTAATTACATCAAATGACAATAATTAGACTGTGGTAATTACAAATAATTGCGGTAACTAGTTGGTGGCGTTTGATTGATTAGTTTCTTAACTTTGGCGGCTTGTTCAATTTCGGAGAAACGATTACTGGAGTGGTTGCAAGGGTGCGTTCCAATTATATCGTGACGATAGATAGTCGTGCAGTTTGAAGTGTCGTGACTTGTGTATTTAAAGTTGTGTAGTTGTTCACATATAGTACAACACGTTTAACTGTCGTTCACGACTTTTTTGACTTTACTACGATTAAATGTCGTGACAAAGGGAAGAGCTAGAACGACAGTCGTCAAACGATAAATTAAACGTCGCGATAAAATTGTGGCGACAGATAATAGCAAATTTAAAGGATTCAGTCGTGTAAACGACGTCGACTGCCGTCACGATCTAGTGCGAACAGCTAGACACGACATCGTTCAACGTTAAAATAAACGTCCACGACACAGTAACGATGGATAGTCGTGATATGGGAAGAGGCTAGACGCGACAGTCGTCCAACGATAAATAAAACTTTACGACTTAATGGGAAAGCGCCCTTATAGTACTGGTATTAGACGCAACTGACACTGCGTTAACTAAAAAATTGCAAGATTTCATCAGAAACTCAACTTTTCCTTTTCAAACATATACATAGGTTATTCATCATAGATTATAAATATATCGTTGTTACTTTTTGTGTTACTTTCTTAATATTTTTAGATTAATTTGAACTACACTCAGTTTGAAGTTACGTAATATTACTTTTGATGACTCATTAGTTATAGTATTTTGCCAAAAAAATATAACCGTAATATTTTTAGTAACCAAGAGGAACACCTTATTTAAAAAGACTAATATTTTATATATATTTTCTCAATGTAGATAAGAAAGGTAAGTTTAATTTGCAATACTCTTTAAAATTTATTACTTCAATAAACTCACAAACTTATCTATACAAACACCTTTGTACTGGTGAAAATCACTCCGAAGACCAAATTTGCGTCGTATCTTTTTTAATAAAAATACGAAAACGTCAAAGCGTTGCTCATTGTGCTTGGAAAATGGTTCCGTATTGTAGCAAATTCTTTTCAACGCAGTTTTATTTTACATTATCGTCTGTTTGATTAAAAGAAGAGTACTATTCAACTTTGTACGTGCAAAAAAATTTTACAATATAAGTACAAAAGGTATATGGAATTGAGAAAACAGGATTTAAAAGTTCAAAAATTACTTAATAGAAACAATAAATTTATGTTCTCATTTATATGTGGATAACTAGTTATTATGTATAAATAAAAATAACCCCATTATTCGCAATAAGATATTTTCAATTTACAGAATTACAGACAGAAACCGAATTACAGATCATAGAAGGGGTGCGGAATTTGGATGAAAAAGGATATGGTAGGCTGGGGGGGTAGGTATTATATATCAGCATATTTATTAAAGCTAGATATTATTGTTTTCGATAAACAATGCCAGTACATTCATCGTAAACATCTTTGTTTCATAAATATAATAAACTTGTTATGAAGATGGGAGTGGGACACTGATTGCCAGAAGTTCAGATATGTATGTTACCATTCCGAAATTTGAATAATTCTGACAAAAAGCCTGACGTTTGCAAAACAGTCCGGACTCTTTAGTAACAAAATGAAATAAATAATCTCTCATAAAGTAGGCATATCGAGGGTAAGGGGTGCGTCCGGGCTGCGGGGACGCTCATTCGCCCGCTGGCTATTTCCTGAAATTCGTTGATTTTAATAAAGAATTGAGATTGATTTGTTTTGTTTTTAGCATGTTTGCATTGTAAATTATGTGCGAACGCTTTAGGAACAAAACGTTTTGACGATTCTTCAACCTTTTTATTCTGAAAAAAGGTGACAAATCCTGACAAAATCTAGATAGAAGATTTAAAAGCCGAACATTCCGAAAAAAATCCGATCGGAGGGTA